ATTAAGACCTATAAACTTACTCGGTTAACTAGTTCCGATATTTAAATCTGACAATGTTTGAGATTGTTCGGAAATTAATTCATTGTAATTTGACCTCTACTTTGTGAGTGACATAGACGCGGAAGCAAATTCGGATGCTACCTCTTTTTTTAAGTTTTGACGTCATCGAGTTCATCCCCTCCCCTCCAAGTCGTTAACGTAGAAGTCTTGCAAGATAATCTCTGATATAATTCTGTCTTTACACTAGTGACCTATTTGCTTTATACATCGAGTAGCACTATTCGTTCCGTATGTCACTTATGTCGAGTCGTGACCCGCAAGCGTTTGTGCATGGGGTGTACGACGATCGGTCTATACATTTTGTCCAAATCGGCAGCTAAGATAAATTTGTATTGCCGAAATCGGAGGATTATAGACAGAAGGTCGTCTTGAACAGTGGGGCCTGTCATCTAGATACTGTTCAATGAAACACCTTATGAAGTTGGCTCACTAGCATTAAACACAACTCCTAATTTCGTATTCATGGTACTCTCGCGCGAAACCCCATGGTAGGGGATGAAATAACGCTGGTTTACAAATTTGGATGAAATAACGCTGGCTTTCAGACATGTGTCCTAAAGACTGATATTCGAACATAAAATCGTAATCTGGGGGCACGGCAGTGCCCCCGCCAAGTCGAGCAAAAAAGAGGCACGGCCGTACCATACTTTTCTCGAAGCAGTTCAGGCCATTCTATTGTTGTGGTATTAAGCCTGAATCTCAGTTACCAAGCTGGCATTGTATAAACACGTTATATTTCTAATTTCATTCAATTTGAACCAGTAGTTTAAGAATTATAACTAGTCAAAGTTTCTTAATTTTGTTACTCACTTACTGACTGACCGATCATCGAAACTCTAAAGCACTTCTAGTAGATAGTAGAGGCTTCAAATTTAGAACACAATTGGTGTTTAGTGTATAAATTAAGAAAAAAATAAAATATTTTGCAATAAAAATATTTTGCAAATTTGCTGTATATGTTTCATATAATATAATACTAGGTGTAGATAGGTACGTTGTTGATATTCAAGTAGTAGAAGGTACCGGAAAGGAAAGAAAGTAGGACTATCTACAAAAAGAAATAAGATGCCATCAAAAATATAAGTTGTAAAAAAACCAAATCTCGCAACTTAGTTCTTCTAACGTAAAAAGTTGTGAGATCCATGTAATACCAAGTCGGTTAATTTATTCAGTCACTACTTATAGGGTTCTTAAGTTAATTCGTAATTAGCTAACCTAACAACATCTTATAGTGACCATATCAATGTTAAAAATCTTTTATGTTTTAAATAAATAGATTGACTTGGCAATCGCACTAAACAATCTAATTTAATATAATATGTATTACTTGTGAGATACATTGTGTTTTCATGCGATGGCCATGTTAATCTATTTATTTAAAACATAAAAGATTTTTGATATTGATATGGTCACAATAAGATGTTGTTAGGTTTGCTAATTACGTAATGACTTAAAAACCAATCTAACCATCCTAGTCGAGTCTCGAGTCTCTAATAGAATCGGTTTCCCTTTTCCTAGGAATAATTCTTTGGGAACGTAGTATATCCCAGAATATATCTGCACCGATAATTAAGTCAATCGATGTAGGCGTGCGAAAATAGGGGTCTGCTAAACAAATATTTAACGGAATATTCAGATTTGTCAAATCAATTTAAGGCAATAAAACATTGGAGATTTGTTGTAAAACTTTCATCCTATAACTTAATGACTACGCGACTCATTTTTGTGATACGCGAAGGTGCATTATTAATGTCAAGTAAAGATTTTTTTACACAGTTAGTTAAAAGGCAGACCTAACTTCTGTCTTAAATTTTCTGTCATAAGATATGAAATGCTTCCACTATCGAGGAAGGCGCGAGCTATGTGATTGTCTTTATCATATCCTATACCTTTAAACGAGCAATTCTTGTATATATATATATATATATATATTTTTTATATATATATATATATATATATATATATATATATATATATATATTAATCTCAACGCATCATAGGGCGGGGGGGGCAATAAATCGATCTAGCTAGGATTTATTTTTAGAAAATGTCTTTTTGTGTGTTTTTAGGCAATGAAAAACTGCTGCAATATCGTTAGAATAAGAATAAGATCTTAATTAGAAATTAATAAGAGCTTAATTGCTTGGTATAATGGGCGGTCACAAAATCGTAATACCATGGTTCGAGCCTAGACCGACCGACTTTTTTAAATTTTTTTTCAAATTCCTTTCTTTTTGAGAAAATCAATTTTTTCGAGCCCTTTTTTTAGTATTTTTAAAAACACGAAAATTTAAATTAAACTAATTGCACTCATGATTTTTTATTCAAATAACCAGTTCAGTTTTTTCTATTATGTCGCTAAGATCAAAAAATATTAGTCGTATTTCATCAGCATGTGATTTGTATCTAAATTTAATGTCCAAAACACACGAATAAAAAAAACCGAGCGAAAAATACCGAGCAAAGCTCGGTCAACCGGGTACTAGTTTAATTAATGCAGTAGACAACAATATGACGTTCGTCCCAACAAACGACGACGGTTCGACACTCGCTGACAGTTAATGTTAGCACTAGGTGTTGCTGGTATAGTCTCCAACGGTGTAGTGTGAGATTCAGTTTGAGTCTTTTTTTAAAATTTATTATCAAATATTAATTGTTATAAATTTGTTATGTGGCACAGCGAAAAACCACGCAGGAATGTGTTATGTGCCATTCCGTCTACGTTATTATAATACTAATTATTACAAAAAATGGAGATAGCAGCAAATTGTTGTTAAGGAAAATTTATACTTTATATTATTTTTAGTGAGTTCACTTCTAAATTTATTATGCAGAACACTTATTAAGCGAGGTATTATGTATGCGCTGATGCGCTCAATATATTTATTTTTTGATGGTATAGTTATTAATTTTTTTTGAGTTACTTTGCGGGTCTGAATTTTGTTTGAAACTGTATGCTGTATACCTAAATTAAAGAATTGTTCCATTAACAATTGATATTGGACTTTATCATGGATATTGAGTACCTTACAGAATTTAAATATACATTTTTATTGCTTTTACTTAAGTGAAATACCTTCCCAGTGAATTAGGGTATGATGCTTCTGTCGACATATTTTACACCCCGTTTTTTTGCAATAGTTTGCAAAATGACCTTTCCGAAAGCGGTTAAAGCAAACGTTATAATTAGGTAACAATTCTAACTTTGCATTATTACTTAACGCTAAAAATTAAGGGCGATTGCTTAAATTGTGTTCACTATTACATTTAGGTCAATGTTTGAAAAGTGAGGTTGAAGCACTTGAGCTATCATCGGGATTAGCGACGGTGATTATGGTTTTTAATTTAGACCTGGTATTATAATTTGTATACGATTGTACTACGCTGCGTGAGTTCTAACGTCTCAATTAAATCTGCACATCGGCATAAATTCGAGAAACATATCGAAATTAATTGGCTTTTCCTTGTCTAAGCTCCCCTTGAGTTTCCCGTGAGTGACAATATGTATAAGGAGAGTATTTCAGTACTTAACAAGTTCACCTAACGTTACTAGCGCACGTACCTATATTCTTAATTGATTGATCGATAACGCGTTTTAAAACTACAGATTATCTTTCCTAATAGGCTCGAGGTTAAATAAAGCAGGTACATGATTTAGAATCAGCAAACGTTTACTGTTGAACCCTTCACACAGGAAATTCCAGGTTATTATATAGTTGCTAGCGTAAAAGTGAATAAATTAAAGTATCACAGCAGCCGATCCATCCGGAGATGCACGTAGATAATTAAATTTATTAACATTGTCTATTTCATCGTTAGTGCGAATAAGACTGGTAAAGGTGTCCCGAAACTCTGGCCAATCTTTATAATGATCCACTAAACCTCGGCAAATGAATTGTTGGTTATTTAACTAGCTTATGCTGGCTTGTGCTGGCACGAGAAAACTTATCACGAACACGTGTACACTGCCGATGGCCACAGAGATAACTTTGAAACCAGTCAATTACTGATGGAGATATGTTAAGGGAACACAATAGACTCAACAGTATACCGAAATCAACGGTATTGAACGCATTACTGAAATCCAGCAAGGTCATGACTGTGAGTTGTTTATTATCCATACCCCACCGTATGTCATCAGTAACTTTGATTAAAGCAGTAGCCGTACTATGAACAGGACGGAAACCTGATTGTAAAGGATTCAACAAATTGTGCTTATTAAGGAAGAGGGTCAGCTGTTGGCAAATAAGTTTTTCAAGGACTTTAGAAAGGAAAGGTAAGATCGAGATGGGACGGAAATCAGAAAGGTTGACAGGATTGGATCTCTTCGGAAGGGGTATAACATGTGGACTCTTCCAGGCTTGAGGGAATTTAGACGAAGAGACACATGCATTAAATAAATAAGTAATAATAGGAGCGACAGCATCAAGGAGAGGAATAATCATATTACGGCTAATGTTATCGCTACCGACAGCATTTGAGGAGATGGATAATATGATCTTCTTAACATCACATACAGTGAAATGACTAAAAACGAACGGAGGATAATTAGCAGTCGGAGTTACAAAAAGGTTTTCGAGTGGCAGCCTCGTACCGGTGGGCGTAGTGTAGGTCGACCCCCCACTAGATGGAGTGACGACCTGGTAAGACATGCAGGAAGTCGATGGATGCAGGTGGCTCAGGACCGTGCTTTGTGGCGTTACTTGGGGGAGGCCTACGTTCAGCAGTGGACTTGTGAATGGCTGTAATGATGATGATGATGATCATCTTGTCACTGTGCAAAGAAGCAATCAACATTCATTTGGGTTTTACATTCGTCACGCTCGGTCTGGGGTCAATTCTCAACAACCACGCATCCTTTTCACGAATTGTTTCAATGCATTCTATTAAACATTAATAATGATCTTTCGAATAGTGACAGTTATATGTGTAAAAGTATCATGATTACAGCTAATAATATAATTATTTGTTTCAGGTTATCAATAGCTTTGGAGTTGGTTAACAATCCTCCAGTTTTCTTTTTGGATGAACCAACTAGCGGGCTAGATACCGTCACCACAGTCCAGTGTGTGAAGCTTTTGCGGCAACTGGCGAAGCAGGGCAGGACTGTTGTTTGTACAATACATCAGCCAACTGCCTCTCTTCTAGAACTGTTTGATCAGGTATGTGACAATTAATAGCGGAGCAATTTTTCATAATTACATTCCGTAGGTTAATATCCCTCAATAATTTATATCCATCATCTGTACAGGACATTGTATAGGAACACTTGTGTTGGAAGTGCATGCGCAAACACAGGACTAGTCTGTTAATTTCATGGAATTAATTCTGATACCAAATTGCATTGATGTGTTCTGGTCTGAAAGGTATAGAGAGCCAGTGTAATTGCAGGCTCTATGGCTTTCCATAATAGTCCTCAGAAGTGATAAGGTATATGTAGCTTTCTTTGGTTGAAGTTGGGGTGTATTTAACCCAGAGAAATATTAATAATATTATTTAGATTTCTGTGATTTAACTATATTTGAAATCCTGTTGCGACAAGATCTATAGTGAGACGAATAAAAGAAATATGTCTGAACCTGTAAAGCAGTATTTACATTGTAAAAGTAAAAGTTAAAGTAAAGTTACAGCCTATATACGTCCCACTGCTGGGCACAGGCCTCCCCTCATTTCTGAGAGGGTTTTAGGGCAGGGAAGTGTCCGCCGCGCTGCCCCAATGCGTGTTGGCGAACTTCTTGTTCTCAGACATGCAGGTTTCCTCACGATGTTTTCCTTTACCGCCGAGCACGTGGTAAATCAGCACTTAAAATTGCAATTAACAATTTCATTGGTGCCGGCGGGGATCGAACCCGGGTTACTCGCGTTCTGTTATATTTACAGCGAGCGTTAACCATCTGAGCTACCACGGCTCATTTTTTATTATTGATAATAATATTTGTGCACATTTACATTGTGCACAAATATTATTATCTTTTAATGAACTTGAACCTAAGACTTGCGGCTCAGTTATTTGGTATTTTGGCCGCCTTTTGATTGACACCATTACTCGACCGCTATACCTAGTAAACTTGACTACTACGCTAAATAATTATAAACCCCAAATAATTATAAACCCAGCCGGAGATGATGTTTTGTGATTTTATCGTATATCATTCAGTGTTCGTAGCCTTCCTAAGATCTTCATTCCTAAGATCTCATATTGAATGGGACTATTGAGTGCATCTTTATTTGCACGTATAGTTTAAGAAAGGGAGAAAGAGCGAACATGTGTTATAGAATTTTGATAGATTTATCATGGAGCAGGGAAGAGTCGGTCTCGCTGCTCCAGTGCATGTTAGCGACTGCATGATAAATTTTTGGTGATGCCAGAGGGATTTAATTCGAGTTGCTCTTGTACTGTGAATTCTAAGCACCGCCCACATCCTGATCTGTCACGAATCTTCACATTTAATATCGTACGTTACGATACGTAATTATTGCAATAAGAAATAAATGTTTTTATGAAATATATTATTCTCTGGCCTTTTTTATAGAATTACGGTGACAAACGAGCACACAGTCCATCTGATGGAAAGTGGATACTGTGACCCATAGACATCTACATTTATCCTCTATTAAGAATCAAAATGCAGATGCGTTTGTCACCCCTGAGGACTAAGATGGAATGCCTCGATTCCAATAAAACGGGTGTCCGGCTCTCTACACTCCCCATACGAAACACAGCAGTATTAAGTTACTATTTTACGCTGGTATTCTGTGATAGCGTGTTCCTTCCCCGTTTAAGCCGACCTATTCGTGCTACAACTATACAATTTAATATAGCTGCAGCGTGGCTCTACGACGTACTCAGTTGATTCATACCTTCCGATGTATTTAAAATTCATTGCCTTGGTTAATAATCCGGCAAGAGGACAGGGGTATGAGTCCTCAGTAGCTTGCTTTTACGTTTATACTAGCACCATCTCACAGTTGTTAAAAGCACTATTTTTTCTTCTATTGTTACATATTTTTCTCAAAAGATGGCACCACTACTTACATTTATTATTTATACCGAAGAGAAGAGAAAGAAATTTAAATCACACTATCAAAATTTTGAAATGTTGCGGTGTACATATATATAATAAATTTTATTTTATAAACAACGTAATTCATGTCAATATTAATAATTTAATTAATGGCCACCGCATAACAGTACTGGTGACCGAAAGAAACGCTCCTCGCGCGCTTGTGGCCTATGAGTCACATGTGCGGCGACAAGGTCATGCGCTTTAGCGACTTCTATTTATATTTAGATTTCTGTGCTTATAAAAATACTTGTCCTGACTGACTGACTGATCGATCAACGCAAAGTCTAAACCACCGAAGTTAGAAACTGGAAATTTTGACTCTATTATGACGTAGACGAACATTAAGAAAGGGTTTTTTGAAATTTGACCCCCAACGGGGTTAATAGGGGTTAAATTTTGTATGAAAGTCCGTCACTTTTCAAGTTATACCCATGAAACTCAGTATTTAGGCTTTAAATTAAAAACAACTACACCCAAAGGGGTTAAATAGCGGTTGAATGTTTGTATGATTGTCGATATTGATGTCCTTCATTTTTCAAGTTGTTATGTAAGTTATGTTTATGTAATTTTTTGGCTCTTGATTAAAAATAAAGAAGTACGTATTTTACATTTTTCGAAAAATCTACTCCCGAAGGGGTAAAATAGGCGTTGATAGTTTGTATGAAATTCCGCCATTTGCCAATTTATCCATATGAAACTTGGTATTTTGGCTTTCGATTAAAACAACTAAGAATGTATTTCACAGTTTTTGAAAAATCCTACGTGTGAAATCAAGCATCAGTGTAGTTTAAGACACGGTCAAACAAAGGGAAAAGAGTTTGGAAGTGAAAGTGTGGATGCCTTCATCATTGGAGGGGGTGGTGACTTAAAATTGTCAGGTTAAAGGAGTTAGGGTGGGGTACCTGATGTGAAAGCGGCTGAAGCGGAAGGATTGAGATTAGTTGACGAAACGGGAGCATACTATGTGAATCAGTTCAATAATGAGGCGAACGCTGAAGCGCATTATGAAACAACAGGACCTGAGATTTGGAGACAAACTGGCCATCACATTGACGCTTTCGTTGCAACTGTAGGCACAGCTGGCACGTTCATAGGTACATCGAGATTTTTAAAAGAAAAGAACCCAAAATTATTATTATTTGTAGTAGAACCGTCAGGTTCGGAGTTTATCAAAGGAAATGAGATTACAAAGCCCTTGCATTTACTACAAGGATCTAGTTACGATTGTATACCTAACCTTTGAATATATGGATGGAACAATCAGCGGGACGGACGAAGAAGCTGTTAAATGTAAAAATCTCATAAGAGTGAAGGAGGGATTGTACGTTGGATATACAAGTGGTGCTAACGTTGTTGCTGCAGTTGTCCCACACCTTCCTGATCTTGTCTCTAAATCTAACTACGCTTATTTTAAAATTGTGAGATGCCACACCATTTAAATAATTTCAGTGCAACCTTATCTGAGCTCCACTTAAAAGTATTGCTTTTATCAAAGTTATTTTAGCGATATTTGTATTATTTTTATTTGGGTACCGTTTTAGGACCAATAGTTCAAATATTACATACGTACCGCGGATTTAGAAAAAAAAAAAACATTTTGCTTCACATGGGCCTGCAATAGTCAATTTTTCACTCTTTTTTTATTGCCACTCTTGGCAAATTGTTATTGGCAATAGTTTTTATAATTCGTTGGCAATTACCCGTATCAAAGAGTTCGTACACAAAACGCCGTTTTCTTTCTGCTGTTAGTCACTGTAGATATTTTGCATGGTAATGTTGGCACCTTCAACGAATTAATTCGTTCAAGGTTGGCACCTATTGGATGACACACAATATTTGAAGCAAGGCTCAAAGCATGCTAACTTCTGCGTTTCTATGGTACATAAAAAAGAGTTTTGACAGCCTCGTTGGTCTAATGGACGTAAGCGCTACTACTGATCTTGTGGGTCTGGAATCATTCCCGGGTTCAAATCCCGAGTCATAAATCAGTTATTGAGTTTATCTGTCAAGAAATCTTCAGTATCAACCCGAAGTCAGGAAGTTGGCGGTGTTTCATTCCCTCACCTCGGAAAGCACGTAATGCCGTTGGTTCAGCGCATAGAGAATAGTGGTTATATAGGTCTTTGGTTCAGCGCGTGATCTCTCTCCCGTCGTGTCGAATTACCGCTCCATTACATTATGACGGGGAGGGAATAGGGAGTGCACATGTGTTTGCGCAAACACTTGAGCATTATAATATCCTGTCCTGCGTAGATGGCTGGTCTCAGTTGAGGCCGGCCGCCGTGACGGAAATCAGGTCTGAAGTACATAATTATAGGACTGTTTTTTTAAAGAAAAAGAAGTTAAATAATATAGTTTGTTAAGTTTAGTAGGTTTGCAATAATTTGTAACATGTTTTAAACCTCTATAAATCTACTTAAATGTAATTTTACGCAAAAGTAAGATCATTCAATAGAAATTGAACATACGTACAAGGGTTGTGTGAAAGCAAAAACACGAATAATAATAATTGGCTCGATAAAAAATCATGAAGATAGCACTAAATCACTATTTAAACGTGTACAGAAATTACATGATGAATTCGCGGGAAAACTTATGACAAAAGTAAAGTCATTAGAAAATGCCTCAGCGCTATTGAATAGGTAGAAAATGCCTCAGCGCCGAGACACATCCCAACTCGTTAGTGGTAAATGCAGCTACTTACGCTCCGACTCCAAATGTTAAGCAACCTCTCCTGAGGTCCCGTAACGTTTTAATTGAACCCCCAGTTCCGCTAGATTCCGACGACCCAAATGTCGCCGGCCCGTCACACACGGACAATACACATTCACCTAGTGCCACAAACACTGTTAAGACAACGGATGGGACACAACGAATCTACAGACGGGCACAACCCAAAACACCGCGCCCTGGCTGGTTTTCACCACCCAATCAGCCGTCAGAGTCGGGGCACGTCAGCTCCTGCTCGGACGGCCGTTAGATAACTCACCTACGTGCACTGTACACTGTCATAGGAGTCATAGTTACGCAAGTATTCTTAACGCCACGAGTCATGGAAGTGGGCAGAACCGAAAAATAGGTGTCGGCACGGTGAGGTGTGAGATACGGGGAAGCGAAACCATAGCAACGGGCGACGCGCTACTCCCAAGTAGTTGCTTCCTGCGTCCCGTCGCCCGCGCACCTTCTTGTGTCGTCTTGTGTACTATCGATATCGAAACTGTTAGCGACTACCTGTGATAAAATTTTAAATTTTTGCGATTATTTTTGTACTTTTAAAAATATTGTTCTACAATATTTTCAAATAGTGTGCAAATATTTACTACTTTATAAATTATTTTGGGAGTATTTAAAATAGCGTAGTTCGTAGTATATTGTATAAAGTTGTAAATATTTTGTTATTTTCTACAAGATGATTTTTTTGCAAATTATTGCACGTAAAATATCCTTATAATCGAAGGTTATCGCATAGTATAGTTTAAACAGTAATTACAAATACAAAATATTTTATTTCTTTAACTAAGTGTACATAAAATGCAGAATATTATTTAGAAGCAGTTAAAACCTAACGATGATATATAAATATAGCGTTCAGTTTTCGTGGAGACTTCGATGTGTAGTTATAATGTTGGCCTTTGACTTTTTACATATTAAAATGCCATAATAAAATTTTCATTTTTCTGCTTGATTGTACATGCGCAGCGGACTCTATTTAATATCATCTTACGTGGCACGACCTATAACGATTTTAATTCACACTTTTAGCCTGATACCTATAATCGTGTAAAAGCTAAAAGGCTAACAGTATAAACATCATCAGTAATCAGACATTTGTAGGATGTGGTGCAACATTTTCATATCTGCATACCGTAGTAAAAGACGGCCCATTTTTTAAATGTATCTTGTGTGGTTGTCGATTGATAGGGGTATAATATTTTTATAAAAATTTTGCAATGTTAGTCTAATGTTACATTGCTAAATTAACGCGCTAATGATGAAGTAAACTAAATATCTTAAATATTTTTGTACTATTTATTTTTCAGGTATACGTAATCGCCGATGGACGATGTATATACCAAGGCGACACAGAAGCAATGGTACCGCACTTGCAAAGTATGGGACTACCTTGTCCCAGACATCATAACCCCGCTGATTTTAGTAAGTACTAATAAACTGTATCGCTCATTGTTGTACTTTGTGATTATGTTGAAAGTTGTATATTTATTATATATTTCGAATTTAGTTTTAATTTTAAATTTACTTAATAGTTTTAGTACTTATGACATGTAGGCTAAAATTTCGGTCAAAAGTTACAGCCTACTACGTTCCACTCCTGAACACAGGCCTCCTCTCATTTCTGAGAAGGTTTTATGGATAGGAAAGTCCTAATGCGTGTTGGGGACTTCACATGTCTTCGAATTTTTTTTTAATTTCTAAGAAATGCAAGTTTCAAGCAAAAGCGAAAATGTTTACGTTCACCATTGAGTACGTGGTAACACTTAAAATTGTAATTAATAATTTCATTGGTGCCGACGGGGTTCAAACCCGGGTTATTCGTGTACTGTGATATTTACAACGAGCTTAGCCTTTGATCTACACGGCTACAAAATTTTGGCTACACTTAAGACTGTCCTTTATTTACCGTCGTATACATAATAGTATAATAGGTTAAAATTATAACAAAATATATAGAAATTCGACAATACAGGACCTAAACGAAATAAAATATGTGTAAGAAAGTTAAGTTACACTCAATAAAAGCCCCAGTGCTGGCTCAGATATTCACAGGGTTTTTGAAATGGGAAAACTCTTCCCGCCTTTGCTATTTCAATGTCGTTTTCCGGTGATGTTTGTGTTGTCAGCCAGAGGCTATTGCGGCTTGGTCCGCCTTACAACGTCGTCGAACTGCCCCAATGGTTATTAGAATGTCCTTGATATTGCTTATTTTATGACATGCTTTTAGATTTCCTCACGATGAATTTCTTCACCACCAAGCACGTGGATAAATATAAAGCGAGAGCTCAAGTCTGGAGCGACTACGGGTATTCATAAATATGTTTTGACGTTACGTAATAAGTTCGTGCTAGAAAATATCAAATAAGTATTAAGTTACTTTTGCAACAGAATTGCAAAACACTCTGTATAAACAACCCGCTCTAAAAACCACGTCTGAAGATTGAAGGATTTCGATTGAATGCTATATATATATAGCCTGAAACAGCAGAAGAATGCGGCTCACTTTCATGGTGAGTGTGGAGAACCGGAGACTCTTTTTACTGGTGACAAGGTATTCCATCTTAATCTTAAGAGGTAACATAGCATCTGCATTTTGATTCTCAATCGATGACAGATATAGATGTCTATGGGTCACAGCATGTACTTACCATCAAATGGTCTGTGTATTCGTTTGAACTTATTGAACTTATTGCATATAAATAACAATGCGAAACATCGGCGCCAGGGTCTCTATATCCCACTCAGACCGAACCACATGAAGTGGCGATCTGATAAGAAATACAGTAAGTCGATATATGCAGTAGCCCAGTAACGTGCTTTGTTGCATTATTTGGTAGTGGTCTACGTTCAGCAGTGGACTTGTGATTGGGCTGTAATAATGATGATAATAATGACATATAAACTAATTTATTTTATTTATGTTTCAGTAATTGAAATTACAGAAAATCCCCAAAATATAAATATGTTGTGCGAAGAAATCCAGAACGGAAAGCTGTACAAGTCTTCCAAGTTAGAAGTCCCTCCGATTGAACCCATAAACAACTTAGAACTCAAAATTTGCTATCAAACGGAGGATGAAGCAGGAGAAACTCAAATTGTTCTATCCAACGAACAATGTATGTACAAGGGGAATCAATACGATGGAGTGAGAAGTTCTTTGACATCACTTTCGAGTCAAGTATCAAAGGACAACTCGTCATCAGCATGGATGAAGGTTAAAAAATCTGACGCCAAAATGTACCCAACAACATATTTTGAGCAGTTCTCGATTTTGCTTAGAAGGATGATAAAACAAATATCAAGAAATCGGCAAGGTGAGTTTAAATAATAATAGCTAAGTCGTATTACTTAAGATCAACAGATTTCGAGAACATTATGACAAAACAATATTAAAGTTTACTTACCCTGTACCTACGAGTACACCGTTGTCATAAGGCATGATTACAAAATGCTTGCATTATTTACATTTGTTTACTAATTCACCGAACGTTTTCTTACATAAATTCTATACATGCTTAAAATCGTTATTTGACGACAATGTACTTAATATCTTGTGTACAATGTAGGCAAAGAATACCTTCAAAGTTTCATTTACTAACCTTTATTAGCTGCTTATTTTACGCGATATTAACGTAAGCCAAATAGATATAAAAAATATTGCATAAATCAATTGAATTTCAGATAATAAAGTAAGAATGCAGTGTATCTTTATGTCAATTTTCACAGAAAATTATATATAAATAAATACAAAGAGGGGTCCCAATAAAGTTACCGAAATCTTAGAAAGTGATGAAAAAACTATCTAACTTCGTTATCTGTATGTTTTATTGTGCTTTCTTGAGCTTTTCACCGAAGTATTGTTTTATGTGGGATGTAAAAGGGAATAGAAAATAATTTTATACAACGTCTTTATTGACTTCTCTTAAGCACCATTTAAAAGTGCAGACTAGAATAAAAAAGCGGCCAAGAGCGTGTCGGGCCACGCTCAGTGTAGGGTTCCGTAGTTTCCCGTCCGTCACAATAAGTGTTCCCACTTATGAGTTTAAAGGTGGGTATCCATTATGTTCGCGCTCTCCAGCAGCGCTCCGCGCTCCTGCAACTGCTCCCGGTAGTGGGTACTGTTGTTTCCATCCAAGTTCAAAATGATTTTCCTAGAAAGTCCTTATAAAGTTCTACTTTTCATATTTTCTAAACTTATGGTTCAAAAGTTAGAGGGGGGGGGGACACATTGTTTTTTACTTTTGGAGCGATTATTTCCGAAATTATTGACATTATCAAAAAATGATTTTAGTAAACCCCTATTCATTTTTAAATACCTTTCCAACAATATATCACACGTTAGAGTCCAAATTAAAAAAAAATCACTTCCCACTTTACATATAGGCGGGCTACCTTATTAAAACATTTTTTTCCAATTTTTATTTTACCACTTTGTCGGCGTGATTGATACACATATTGGTACCAAATTTCAGCTTTCTAGTAGACACACGTGGCGAAACTATGAGGGTTCTACCAAAAACAAGAACACTCACACACTCTATGCCTAAGGCCGGCTAAAGCCTAAGTGGAGTGTGTTCGGCGGAACGTGTTTCTTTCATATGAAGCAGAAGTGACAAAACGAATTTACGGTCGTCCTGATAGCTAGTAGCTACTACAGGCTGCAGCCCATGGCGACCTACAGCCATGAAGAAGACTACTGATGCTTTGTCACCTCTGAGGACTAAGAGCAATGCCTTGCAGCCTGTAATTATACTGACTTTCTAAACCCTTCAGACCGAAACACTTCACGTACTGCTATTGGGCGATAGAAATAAGTAAGAAGTTGATACCAGCCCAGACAGATTCGTAAGCAGAAAAGAGTTACTATCAGTTTATAATGTAAATTTATTGTAGAGAAGGACCACGCTCTCACAGAACATCAGCGCAAAATAGCAGCTTAATGTTATTGTGTTTCGTATTGTGTGTGTAGAAGAACCGGAGACTCTTTTTACTGGAAGGCTATCTGTCTCAGTCGTAATGGATGACAGAGCATATGAATTTAGATTCTTAATCGAGGATAGTCGTCGCATTTGTATAGATGTCTATGGGCCACAGCATACACTTACTATCAGGTGAACTGTGTGCTCGTTTATCACCGTTATTCTATGAAAAAAAAATGGAAAGTTAAGGAAGATAATCATTATATTTTAGCTGATTATTAAATCATTGATTACAGCTCTCTGGATCCAAGCAATTCACCATACGATGTGCGGCGTTTTAATAGGACTGTGCTTCTTAAACATGGCGAACGACGGCTCGCAGATGTTCAATCATTTGAAGATGTGCGTTGGTCTGGTTATATTCTTCGCCTATACCCAGATAATGGTGCCAGTTCTTGTCTGTAAGTGTGCTTTTTTTTCATTTTTTTTAAAGTAAAACCTCCTTAAGAATTGTTGTGATTTGACGCTCGACGAAATGAGAAAGCGATACTAAAAAGAGACAAACGTACATTTGAGCATGCGAGAGAATGAGATGGAATACAATGTACAATGTTTCCTATTGTCTCGGTATCCTTTTCTGAAGGTTTCACTTCTACGCGTGTAAACTGCACTGGTTTTTTTCTTAAATCAACGCTAGGAAAGCTTTGGTTAACTCTGTTACTATCAATATAATATTTTAGTAATAAAAAATTATTAACTTAATATTAAATAAATAATACTGACAACATATTACTTATTAGATACTATTCACAATAAAAGTAGTCTTGTTAATCTCTTTAATTGAGCTTAAAATTCGTGTGCTAATGAGAAGCGGTATTACGAATAACGGATTCGAACCTATGCCTTTTTAGTATAAAATGTCTCTTTTCTTAAATATAATGCCTCTGTTGTTTGATCTTTAAATTATTATAATATCTCAATTATCAATTATAAATAACATCTAATTAAATATTTTTTTATAATCACATTTCATTTGAAAAAAACTATTTTTATGTTTCTGATTAAATTTCCTTATTTCGAAGTGATTACAACATATATTCTTTTAAATTCATGATGTACTTATTTTTAAAAGTGTATGCGTATTGTCAGTGATGACATATGGATGGGCATATTGTTTTCTTCCGCGTACGACCTCTCTGTGGAGTAGTTTACCACCGGCGATTTTTCCGGACCGATACTACCTAGGGACCTTCATGAAAAGAGCTTACTCCTTTCTAAAGGGCCGGCAACGCACCTGCAATTCCCCTGGTGTTGCGGTTGATCATCGGCGGTAGTCACTTAACATCAGGTGAGCCGCATGCTCGTTTGTCCCCTCTTCTGTAAAAAAAATGGAACTGAGACGCGGTTCTTCGCTGCTGAGCGTTGAGTTGTTTGTGATTGTCCACTAGACGGAGTGACGAGCTGGTAAGACACGCAGGATTCGATGGATGCAGGTGGCCGAGGTATGTGCTGTGTATGCCACAAAGGGAGACCTACGTTCAGCAGTGGTCTTGCGAAGCGCTGTAATAATCATGATAATGAATAATGATGAATAAATAAATAGGCTTATAATGTTGTTTTGTTAATAGGTGTTCTAATATTACCCCTTGACATTATTTAATACTCAAACGTAAACAAGAGTACATTACTTCGCAATCTTTTCCCATATTTTTTATTATTACACAAAAATAAAATAAGTAGCAATTATGTAAAACAAGCCTTAAAATAAAATAATGAATAAATAAAACTTTATTAGCATAATTACATTCCTTTACAGTAAGCTTCTTTACAATATGATTAAAATAAGCTAATTAGATTTTTTTTAAGTTGCTTACTTTGATTTTTACTGCCGGCTGTACTAGGCCCAGCCTGTATTTGCATTAATTAAACCTTGATTTACGATTAACAAAAAAAATATAACACTCCATTCTAAACAATCATCATACTCGTATTTAATTGGCCATTAGCTATGAAGTGTTAATGTTCGCAAAAAATGTAGTTTTTGCTTTTGGATGTGTCACGAGCCGGCTTAGATAATTGCCTACTCTGTCTTTGCGCATATTCTTTAACCCTAGACACCTAACGTTTGCCTGCCCCCTATAAATCCTAACCATTCGTCGATTCGACGAATACTTTTTAGGGTGTTTTGATTTCAAGTTATAATATAACTTTTTGTTATATGTCTTGCACATATACTAGGTCCAACTATTATTCTACAAAATGAAACAATGAATTTCTGTATTATTACTAATTATATTTATTTTATCACTCTTACAAGACATTAGCTTTTATGAGATCATTGAAGACAACATATTTATAAAAATTAAAATAAAAAAAACAACAAAAAATAGCCTTTTTTCTTTGGCGTACCTAAATTATAACATTACAAACTATTTAGAAAAATAGAAAAAAAGCTAATTTTGTACAGCGCATTTTGAACAAAAATCAACCTTATGTTCCCCACATATTGCTGAATTACATTTAGCGCATGATGACTTTGTCATGCGCCTTTTGGTATATGAACATAGACCACAGATTTTTCTTTTTCTACTATTTGGTGCCTCTGTTGGTTGAAGATCGTTGCTGTATTGTGGCTGACTCTGACCTTGACCTTCATCGTGCCCTGAACCCAATATATTTGTGATTTTATTCTTGATGTGCGTCGGCATGGTACGAATTTCCAGTCGGATTTTCAGCCATGGTTCTACAAGTTGCGAATGCATCTTCTTCATAAAGTCACGACGGTTCATTAGTTTAGCCCTGTAAAGAGGCATTGTGGCAGTAAATTATGTAACTATTGATACATGCTATATTCATCATTCCGTAGAAGACGCATATTAGCCAACGATTGGTTTTTCTGCTGCATGACATTACTGAGCACATTTGGTCAAATGTGTCAACACCGCCTTTTGTCTTATTATAGAATTCAATCAAGCGTGGCTTTTTTGTTTCTGGATTGACTGAGGCCTCCTCATCACAAGAAGAAAGCATGTAAACCATTTTCGATGGTTTAGGTTTGTACGAAAGAAGTGTAATGGGTCCGTCATACACGAACATTGACGTATTGACCCTTCTGGTTCCATTACTCGTTCTGTGGTTCTTCAATTTATCCGTGATTTCTCTTTTATTAGATCGTGATGTCCCCACAATTGTTAACTTGTAATTTTGTCGAAGTAACTGTTTTGCAAGTGGTACTGAGGTGAACCAGTTGTCCATGGTAACGTTTCTGTTCGTGCCGTGTATACTGCGAGTAAGTTCCTTTACAAAGTACTCTCCTAAAGGTAAACCTCCTATATTGGTTCCTTTTTCAAGATACGGTATACAGTCCAGCATGTACCTTGTGCCACTGTCACACATCATTTCTAACTTGACTCCATACTTAGCGGGTTTGTTCGGAATATACATCCGGAATTTGCACCTCCCCCGGAATGCCAGCAGCTGCTCATCTATTGTAACATTTGTGTCAGGAACATAATTTTGACGGCACTGAACCATAAACAATTCCCATATATCCCTTATAGGCGTAAAGGGATCGTCTTTTTGCCGTTGTAAGCGAAATGTTTTATCGTCGAAACGTAAACATCGCAGAAGGAAATCGCACCTCTCTTTACTCACACACGATACATATCTTGTACCAGAATATTCTGTATTGAACAGTTCATCAAGGGTCAGATGATTGTCTTTCAGAGCTGCAGGTAACACCAGGATACCCAATAGAGCTCTGATCTCCTCTTTGCCAGAGTAATTTTGCGTAGAAGTTATTTGCGCATAGGTCTGTTTTTTTATCGCAATCTCTGTGTTTGTCCATTTTACAACCTCATCTATTATCTGATCAGTCATGAACCGATCAAATAGCGATACTGGATCGACAATATCCTTTATTGCGGGAGTTGGTCCCCTGGCAATACGTACAATATTTATTGCTGCTGTTCTGTTGGAAGAACGCCCTTTGCTAGTTGCCCAAACATGGCGAGACCGACTGCGGACCGTACTTGTTGAGAAGGACAATATACTTGGATCATTACCCGAACTCACTTCTGGATGTGGATGAGGTGTTTGTGGTTCCAGCACATCATCCATCAAAGCAAGAGAAATCTGCTCTTGAACAACTTCATCGTCGGAAGAACCGTAAGACTCCTCTGTCTGATTATCACTTTCAACAGCATCCACCTCCAGGTTATCTTCAGTTTCGCTATCAGATAATTCCTTCGAAGCACTGAAATCTTCCTCTTCTAATAACAAACGTGCTATATGTTCGTCAGGTAGCGATTGTCTTTTTTTTTTTTTTTGCATGGGGAAATGCCTACGCATACCCGCCTCGCGGGGGCAAGGACGGGTTATGTCGGACTCGCACCGACTAAAACCCCATGGTGTTCCACCTTTGTCGTATATTGGCAGGGCTACGGGAACGCTTTCGCACACATCCGCGGCCCTACTAGCGCCTGCCGCCCCATGGCAGCACCTCCTCGGGAGAGGAAAATTCCTCCCCGTTCTCCTTCCCAGGTAAGGCGCACCAGAACACATGGCGCGCCTTCCTCCACGGCCTCCAATTACGTCTGTGCAACAGACACCCCCGCGTCCGATGCACAAAGGCCATGGGGCCAGGAAAAACGAGCACTTAGAAGTACTAGCCTTCCCGACCCCAGCGGCGGATCTGGTCTATGGCTCCGCCGCCAACCAAGATTCGGCTGCGGAGGGTAGGGAGAGCGGCGCCTCGTAATACCGACAATCCTCTCCCCCCGCAGCCCCACCACCACCGCATCAACGGTGCGGCCCCGTTTGAGTCGCGAAGGATAGGGCGAGTGGCGCATCGCCATACCAACACTCCTCTTCCTCCGCGACTCCACCTCGGCTGCAGCGGTAGAGGGCGCGCGAGTCCCCACTCGCTGCAGTCCACCAGCACACATCCGAAGTGGGCTCCCCAAGCCCACTCGGAGCGGCCACCTCAGGCCGGCCCTTCACCTCGGGCCAGCCACGTGGGTTCCTCTTTGTTCACCGTGGGAGACCAAGCCACGGCTACTAAGCCCCCCCGCCACGACAAGGCGGGAACCCGTTCGGGGGGGAGGTAGCGATTGTCTTGAAGTCATGATAAAAAATGCAAGAAAACAAAAACCTTTCTGACAATTTAGATGTTGAACGGGAACGTAGAGCGTTGGCAGTGAGGTGAATATGCTTGCCCGCAGGTTTGCTAGGTGTACGAATGAAGTTAAGATAACGTTATTCAAAGCTTACTGTCAGACATTCTACACCTGCAGCTAGTGGACGAAGTGTACTCGCCGAATTCTCAATGCGCTGCGTGTTCAATACAACAATGGACTCAGGATGTTGTTGGGGCTGCCACGCTTTTGCAGCGTATCGCGTATGTTTTCTGAGGCACGCGTGGACAGTTTTGCAGCAATATTACGCAAAAGAATGGCCTCCT